TCCTGGCAGAAAAGCAGCCTATTGAAGTTAAATAGTTTCCTTAAAAGGGATTTCTTTTCCTTTTAGCGGACAATTGTGTTTAGCAGAAAGCTCTTTTGGCTTTTCCCAAGGCATTTTGGTTGGAGGTGGCAGGCCTGACCAGCTCTGTCTGGGCTTGCAGTCTCACGGGGAGGGACTCTGATTGTAAATATTAACTGTTTTGATTTTCTAGTACATCAAGATGAATCTTTTGCTCCACCCTTACTTGGAAGAAGCCTGTTGTATGTAAAGAACTATGGGTGACAGTTCAGAGCTGTGAGCAGAACACATGAGTAAGGGCCTCATTTCTGTTATTTTCGCTCCAGAGTGATGGTTTCCAGGATAGGCTGATTACCTTCAAGTCCTGTTGCCCTCCACTAGGCAAGGGGATCTCCTTGGCCTCCCAGACAGCTCTATTTTTACCCTGAGTTGTTTCATAAAAGATTTAGCAGAAGTAGCTTATCTTTCCAAGGTTTTTTATATGTGTATGTCCATGGTTTAAACTTAAGTTTACTTGGCCTTTTCCAATGATGTCCTCCTGTTTAGAGCCTGTATTTCCCCAAATGTCAGATGGATGAGGTAGCTCTTAATACAAAACAGCTTGAAGCAGTTTCAAGTTGAAGTATTTTAGTCTATGCTTGGCTTTAAGGCAGCCACACACCGTCCCCTTCGTGAGTGCCCTCAGTTCCCTCTTGGAGAAACCTCTGGGTCAGTCCCCTGCCCTGTCTGACTCACCTCTAGGCAAATTGCCTGGAGGTATTTTCCATTATTTTTGAAGACCTGAGAAGACCTCACAATATGGTGGACCCATTTCCTAATACCACTTTACTCCCAACCTTAATTCCCTACTGTGAATCCCTGGCTGTCACTGGTTGGTGTGTTTGGGAGGTGGTGATGCAGTCCAGCTTGGAGCTACAGCCTGCCTGTGCTAGTCAGGTGACAATAGTCTTCCTCTGCTAGCCCAGGGAGCACCACCTCAGTGGTCACTTTTGTTCTCCCCATTTCACTGGAATTGGAAGGAATGGCAATACTTTGTTTTCCCATTGTGTGGACTCGTGACACAGATGAAGCCACTATGCTGGACCCACTTCTGGAACTAAGTCTTGGTCAGGTCTGGTGCAGCTTTGCCTTTAAAAGCAGAAGGCAGGCAAGGCCAGAAGTAGCCATTCTAGTCAGTGCCCTTCCTCTGCGAAGCCAGTCTCAGCTGGTCCTCCTGTGCCTCTGTCACCCCACCATGCCAAGGTGAAGTGCAAGGGGGGACTTTCTTGAAAACATAAGCCAAAGAACAGCTAAAAGGGTTCTGAAGGAAAGGGCAACCAGCTGCTATTTCAAGCTAATCATTTTAGTTCAGAATTGCAGCTGAAGCCCCTCTAGGCTCTGTCTAGGTGTACTTCACTTAAAGGGTACACTGCAACACCACAGATGGTTTTTTTTTTAACCATGCCCATTCAGCAAGGATTCAGACGGGGATTAGCCTTATTATTGCCACTTTCCCTCCCAAGTCCTTTTCATCCAGTACTTTCCACGGAGGGCTGACACTTAGAAATAGGTAGTTCTTTCAGCTTCTTAAAAGGCTAGAGTAATGCAGTCATGTCATCTGCGGGGGAAGAGGAGTCGTCATGGTTCATCATGGCTTCCAACCTGCAGCAGCTCTGCTGGACCGGCAAGACATTGGCCAGGAGGACGTTTGAGCCCTGCCTCTGGTGGGTGGTAGGCAGCATCCTAGACTCACGGAGCAGGAAGTGGAGGCAGAACAATGTGAGCTGCAGGCACCTCTGTTGTCAATTTTAGAAGACTGGCAGGCAAATAAGTCAGAAAAAGGATGGGTGTGGAAACAGGGTTGCTTTTGTTTTTTCTGTTTGCGGAGGCATGGGAGCAAACAGGTGGTGTATAGGAGCTTACTGGAAGCAGTTTTTTTATTTTAACAGCACTTATTTGCCTGTTTTGCTTTAAAAGATGACCAATATCCTTTGCTCAGAGCCCCAAAACTAGTTCCTTGGGATAGAGAGTCTAGCTCTGAAGTGGGGGAAAGGTCCTCCTTTTTTATAAAATCAGTAGTCATAAGGAGAGACTATGATTTCACTGGGCAAGGGTGAGTGGGACCTCGGGCACTCAACTGCAGGCACTAAAGGATTTCCTCCCAGCCATCACCTTGCTGGCACAGGTCCCTTCCTCCTGGCCTAGGTACACCAGCAGTTCCAAAATCATGGGGATTCTGTAAGAACTTAACTACCTGTTGACTGACTGACAAGGCCCACAGCGTAAGTATATAATAGTTTACTTGGCTTCACGGAAAGGGTATGCAGAAATAATAGTCAAAAGGAAAGAGAACAGACCTTTAATGATACTTTTTTAAACAGTTCAGGTTGGTGAAGCAGAAAAGGGATGTGATTACAACTTAAAAGAATCAGTCACTTGCACAATTAAACAATCCTCTTGGCATCACACAAACTAGGTTTTAATGGCAAATGATTACATCACAGCATGACCAATACTTGTGGAAGGCAGCCTGGAGCCCTCGTGCTCACGCCTGGGGGAAGGTGCTGCGTGAGGTGATGAGATGCAAAGACCCTGGACCACAGACGACACACGCCCACTTCTTCCCACGCTTCTGTGGCTACACCCTAGTCACCCAGGACCCATGCCCTGCTGCAGAAACGGGCTTTGCCCAGGAGCTTTTCCAGGGCCCGAGTGAAGAGGCCACTAACATAGTTTAGGGGTGGTAGAGATTAATGTGGGATAGGTATATCTAAATAGACTATATACACTAAACCAATGACGGAGAGGTTTGGCTTTAAGAAATAAATATGTCCCCAACTGAAGAAACCAAGCTGCTGAGTAGGTTCCACAGGTGAGGTACACATTTAACACTTAGCCAGGGCCAGTATACTTTACTGGTTTAATTCTATTACATTTGTCATCACTATACACTGAGTAGAATACAGTGGATAAGCAAAGGTTTCTCCACCATGGAGAGAGATTTGTGTCACCACAAACGGTTTCTATCACCCACCTGTGTGGGAGGACTTCTGAGAAAGTTTTCTTGTTCCAAGGAGCCATGTGACTCGGTGTGAGGCTCTGCCTCAGAAGCTCTCTGAGTGAGAAGCCACGTACATGCTGGAGACAACATGGCACAAGGGAAAAGCCCTGAAGAGCACAAAAAGATCAGCTTTTAAAATAGGTGCGATAAGGCTGCACAGTTAAAAATTTAAAATACAAATAGGCACATTTACATCACTGGTGTTCAAGTGCACAATTCAAATGGATCCAATCACTTTTACAATGAGTCTTCATGATACTATTCCAACATTTGTTTAAGTAAAACCAAGCAATAAAAACACTATGGAAATACAAAGAGACATGTTCATCTCTTAAGCCAACAGTGTTGCCTGTCTAAAGACCACTTTCCACAACAAAGTAGTCCAGTCTGTTGCTAAATTCCACTTGGCATAAAAAGCTTCTCTTTACCAACATCAATTCTGCCCAAGTGTTTACTAAGTTATAACAGCTGCCCATTCAGAGAGACAAAAGATTTAAGTGCAAATGTTAAAAGTTACAGCTGTCTACCTTCTAAGCAAAAGAGCCTGGATTCATAGGAAATAGCAAGATCAAAGGAGGCTCACATTTCAGGTTCAATTAGATACAATGATAATATACTGATTATGTATTCGATCAAAAAATGTGGAAACCCATTTTTGCAAATCAAAACCAGTCAAATATCACAGTTCAGATATTATCTAGTTCAACTTGATATATAACATATAAACTACTGTACATCCACGCTTCCCTCTTAACTATCTTCTCGGACTCTGACCCAAACTGGATGGCAAAGCTTTACTGTCAGGAGTGAAAATTTAGACCAGCACTGTCCAGGAGACCTCTACACGTTATTGGGAATGCACTAGACCTGCCCTGCCCTGTGCCACACGGTTGTTGAGCACTTCAAACATGGCTAGTATGACTGAGGAACGAAGTTTCTAATTTAAATAGCCACATGTGGCCAGTGGCCACCGTATTAGATGATGTGTGTTTAGATATGCTTGCAATTTGCTCCCTGTCATGTTTAGCAGATGTGTTCTGTTCTGAGAAGATGTATCCAGCTAATATTAAAATGTGAATGGAGCCACATCTGCTCCTGTAACTTTAAATATCTGACCTAAGAGGAAAGCTACCATAATTTCTTTTATATTTATACACTTTAACAATTCCTATTTTTTCTTTTAATATAAAAAACAAGATTACCAAAAAGTCTGGTTGGCTGGCTTAATGTGAGCTATATTTTGTCCTTTGTAGAGAACTGAGAAGGAAAATAATGATGTTAGACAAAAGATGAACGTGAAAAACAGTGCTGTTTTGAGCTCCAACTCTCGCCAGATAATTTGTAGACAACGCCGCCACCATCCCCAAAATCAAAGGACGGGTTTAGAACACTTGTAGAAATTACAATGACTTCTTTAAATGGGGTTCTGGTTCCAAATTCCAATTTGAGTTAAATCTAAATAGTGTTTATACCTGTTTTTCTTAAACAATTTAAAGCTACTAAATTCAAGAATAAAAACTATTTATTCAAAGTGAGAACTTGCTTTACTATCAGGATAGGCCAATGAGAGTTGTTAAAACCCAGAGTAGCAAAGACTTTGTTTCTATGGAAGCAAACCCCACAGTGATACGTGAAGTGTAGGTGACGGTCAAAAATCAATTCTGGAGGTTTGCATCTCAGCCTCAGCCAAACAAGAAGCAAGTCTAAAGTAGACATGCAATTATTTCCACTGCTACAACTAAAGGGGGGAATTGGATACAGGCTCAAAAAAGTAAGGAGAAGCAATGGTTTTATTTTACTAGGTAACACCTATACCATGTAGCTGATCACAGAATTTTTAAAATACTAAATATATTTCATCTTATTTGGACTTTTCTTTACTCTCATCCTATCTCTGCCCATGAACACACAAAACAAAACAATACCCCAACAAATAGAGCAATTCTTGTATTTGCAGTAGAGGTACAACTGAACCAACAGACTGATTTAGTTAGTGCCGATACATAGCAGCCTTGGGACACCAAGAGCAGCAATTACCTGGACTACTTAATGATGCCCTCTCAGTTATCTTTAACAGGCAAAGAGAATGATTACTTAGCGGTCACTGTGAAATCTTGTGGGCCACAAATTACATGAGCACATGATCCTTGATTTAGAGCCAACCTGATCTCCGTTACCGCTCGGAAAAGGCAGCAGGCAGCTATGTCTCTCTTCACAGTCAGGAACGTATCTTGCTGTCAGCATGTGAGAGTAACAAAAGCATTGATGTAAATGTGCCTCAAAGTGAGAACTGAAAACATTAATATAAAAAAGTCAAATAGAACTAAGTTCTTGGAACTACATATAAAAATTGAATTATTACAACTAAAGCAGCAAATCAAAATGTCTGCTGAGGTTTTCTGGTAGAACAACAACAAAAGTAGTTGGTGCCCATGTTTAATAAGTCACTACCATTGATAAAACTAAACCCAAAATAGGAAACTGAAAAGTGCATAATGAAATTAAATCTTGGATCAAGTATTTGTGGAAAATAGGAAATGTTTGTCCGGTACAGTTGATCAATCATGATTTAGAGGAGGTATTAAAGTTTATCTGATCCAGCTTTGGCCTGGCGTTCCACGTAAAAAAGAATGTAGGCCTTTGCCTTCACCACGGTCTCTTCATCAGTCAGTGTTACAGTACTGTCATTGAAATGGAACCAGCGGCCTTCGTGAGTTGCATATGCTGTATAATGTCCAGAACCAACCCTGTGAAGAAAAGGTGAAAGATCAAAGAAAAAGACTGAAATCACAAAATGATCTATACAACCATATAATTCAAGTATTGTAATTAAAGAATAATTCCTAGAGACTTTTGGTTTAAGATGGTTGGTTGAGCTCATGTGTTTACCACTTTCCTTCAAACCCATCAAAAGGACAAGGAATATACTGACACTAAAAAACAGTAATGAGTGACCAGACTGACCAGAAATTGAGGGTTACATAAAACAGATGGTACTGGATTAATGGAGAAACCAAACAGAGATGAGGAACTCTCAACCTAAAAAGCATAGGTCAAGGCCTATGGGAACATGGGAAATCCAGTACTCAGTTTTCCACCAGAATCGTGGTATAAAAACTAAGCTTTAGAAAGAAATCTCCCTCCAAGGAAGCATCTTCCCTGATACCTTAGTTGTCAAGACTTTTCCCCATCAGCAGGACCTACCCACTCACACATGGAGCCCTAGAGTTAGTCCCAGTCAAGAGAAAGGCCTTTCTACGAAAAGGCAGCAGAACAAAGACCCTTATTTACCAATAATGATTGACCTCATTCTTCACTCATTATGATTCTGAATAAACAACCAAAAATCAAATTCTTGAGGGGAAAGAAGTAGCATGAAAGAGAAGTTCCAGGAAGAACAAGTAAATCAATTAACCCTGAGAAATTTAATACAGAAAACTGGAGACCTTTAAAAATTCTAATTAGTACCAATAGTTTCAAGACAATACTACAACAAGAATAGGCTGTTATGAAAAAGTTCTCAAAAAAATGTGATTGCCACAATATAAAAGTTTTATGGTGGAGCTAATTTTTGACTTGGACACAGTTGAAACCCAAATTGGTGACTTGGAAAAAATAGTCCATGGCAGTCTTTGGAAACAAAGAGATAAAAGGCATTAAAGAATAGTTAAGACATGTGGAAGACAGATTCAGGAAACTCACCATACATTTAATAGGGGTTCCAGAAGACAAACTAGAAAAGGAGTCAAACATACAGTGTAAACATTGCCATAAGCTGAAGACACCAAACTAAAAGTGTCCCTACCGACTACCAAGCAGGAATACATATCTGATGATATTTCTTAAATCCAAAGAACTTTCAAAGAGAAAAAAATCAGGTTGCCTATAAAGTAGGGAGAATCAGACTTGTACTGGACTTATTTATAATCCTGTATGAGTGGTGAATAATGTCTACAAAATTCTGAGGGAAAAGGATTTTTCAACATAGATAGTGGTTTGCCCATGTACAGCTCAAAAAGACAGGAAATCAGATGGTATATAGCCTAATAAAAACTTTCAAGGGAAAAAAATAATCAAGAATGTTATTCAACAAAATGAAAAATGCATCTTTAATGTAGATGACATGAAGTTACTCCTAATAATTTCCTGTTTTTTCCCCCGGTTTAAATTTCAGCTGGTGAAGGAAATAATTCTGGAATAAAGATGACTCAGGATTTTGTGCACAAATAGATGGGGTTCTGAGTGCTAGGCTCAAATGAACCATTCTCAGTTTGGGTTTTATGTGCCTTCTCCTAATGCTTCAGGAATACTGTTTCATACCAAAATTAAAGGAAAGTTCTATTTTACCCACTTTAATATATCTGAATCCACTTTGGGGGGGAGTCCAGGATGAACTATCAAAGAGCTGTGCAGAATTGTAGGTCTTTGCTGTGCTGACCACCAGGTGTCCCCAACCCCAGGAAGCCCACTGCGTACTCACCCAGAACCATGGTGCACCACCACAGCAGCGAGGTCGTACAGGCAGTTCTCCGGGCCGCTGTTCTCAGGCTATGCAGAACAAGAGAGAAGGCAGCCCCAGGACTGAGTTAAGAGCAGTGGTCAATGACATCAGTATATCCTACCTTGATGACCTCTACCGTCTGTGTGAAGGCTTAATTTTATTGAAGAGACATCTTTTTACAATGCTAAAACGGAAATCACCTTACCTCTAGTAAGTAGCATTTCATGTCTAGGCCTCTCAGTGGAAATTCTACATATGTATCAACTTTGTTTCTTAAATATGCTGTCCAGTGAAATCTTTTCAAATGTAAGCATAGCACCTGGATGGCAGAGATAAGGACAAAGATTGTGAACACACCTAATTTACCTTTCAAAGTTTAGTACTAATGTCTCTAATATTTTAAGTGCCCTTTCAGTTTTTCTTTTGATCCTTGATATTGCTTCCTTCCATGCATACCTTATGAATTCTCAAAGGGGTCTAGCTTTTACTGAAACCCTAGAGACAAATACAGAATAGTTCACATAGACTAAAGTTATAATCTTTCTCAGCAGTCTAGCATTTTCCCCTTGAAACCACATCATAACTTGAAATGCAACACTTACCTTGGGAAGTTTTTGAATCCAAAACTTTTTTGTGGACTTTTGTTTCTTTTTGCATTTATGGCACATATATAATTCTGTCTCATCAAGTTCCTCTAAGTCAGTAAAACTGCGAAGACAATCTAAAACAAATTGTGGCAGCATTAAAACAAGATGTCTTTTATAGAAGCCATGTACAGTAGAAAAAAGAGTATACTTTGAAGCTGAATGACCCAGTTTTATGACCTTAGAAAAGTCAACTTTTCTCAATTTAAAATGCACACAAAATATAATACCTAGTTTGAAGAACTGTTGTGAGGAAGAGAAATAACATGTGTAGAGCAGTTGGCATCATGCCTGGCATCTGGTGATGATGAATTAACATCAGATGATGTTCATTTTATGAAAGAATTACTCTGGATAATTCTGATAAAAATGTTTTCCTGATAAAATCAAAGTTTTAATAGCAATTTGCTCTCAATATTTTACATTATAGTGGATAAAAGCCCTAAGCTCATAAAAAGTCAAATTTAGATTAAACATTTTCATAGTCATAACTTATTTAAAAATAAACATAGATTACAGAAGGCTATGCTTTCAATCTTATTTGCTACAAACCTCAAATGAATACTTTGCCCAGATTCTCTACTCTCAGTCCCCTAAATAAACCACAGCTACATTTTTTTCTTTTAAAGATTTAATCGTGTAATCTGGAGTTTGGGGTGGGGTGCAGTGGCTCACACTGTAATCTTAGCACTCTGGGAGGCCAAGGCAGGAGGTTGCTTGAGCTCAGGAGTTCAAGACTAGCCCAAGCAAGATCGAGCCCCCATCTCTAATAAAAATAGAAAAAAATTAGCTAGGCGTGGTGGCACACACTGATAGTCCCAGCTACTTGAGGAGGCTGAGGCGGGAGGATTGCTAGAGCCCAGGAAGTTTGAGGTTGCCGTGACCTAGGCTGATGTCATGACACTCGCCCAGGCAACAGAGTGAGACTCTGTCTTAAATTAAAAAAAAAAAAAAAATCTGGAGTTTGGTAAACTACAGCCCTAAATCAAATCCAGCCAGCTACCTGGTTTTGTAAATAAAGTTTTGTTGGAACACAGCCGCACCCATTTGTTTATATATTGTTTAGCTGCTTTTACAGTAAAATAGCTGAACTGAGTCGCTGGGGCAGAGACCTCTATGTACTTGCAAAGCCTAAAATACAGTTAAGTCCTCACTTAACGTCATGGACAGGTTCTTGAAAACTGATTTTAAGTGAAACAATAATGACATTTTGATAATGTTTTCCCCCATCAATACTGTAATAAAACATTAAAGGGAACAATGTTATTCAAAGACCTTCTGTATGTCATTTCACTTAAAGTTGCAGTTTCTAAGAACCTATCAATGACATCAAGTAAGGACTTACTATAGGCCTTTTATAGAAAGTTTGCCGCCTCCTGATATAATCAATCATATATTCAGAAAGTATATATAAACCATATGTTATTGTTCTGCAGAAAAAATATGCATGTCTATGTACTCAGAACTCAGGGCAAGAGATGGATTCTGTCCAGTACTAGAGAAACCACAGTCTGTGCACATCTTCTCCTGAAGTTGTGCAGTGGGCAACCTGTGCGGCCGAGTCACGGCAGGAGCCCCTTTAGACACTTCTTGTGTGCCTCTTTCCAATCACAATTCCCCTACCCCCCCCTTAGCTGGAAGTAGCCATTGTCCTGACTTTTGTGCTAATCACTTCTTTACTTGTCTTTATAGACCACATATATGTATGTATGTATGTAACCTTAAGCAATTATTATAATAATATCAAATATTATTTGTTTGAAAAGTTGGTTAGTAAGCAAAAACCTAGCTGTGTAAGAAAAGGCAACACTGTCTCTGTACTCAGAGTTTCCAGGCCGTCAGCCTTAGCGTCCACGAGAGTATTAGAGCACCTTCAGGGGAAGTTAGTGGTGGCAAGGTGTAGCAAGGCTCTGGTGTGGGCTGGGTACTAGAGAGGCCGGCACGGGGTCAGCAGCCCATGCACTCTTGAAGATACCTTCGCTTCTCAATTCCAACACCTAGAAGGCACATCCTACCCCTGTCTCCCCTCAACTCTCACTTCTTTCGCTGAGCCTTTCCCAACCTCCAGTGGACTGTGACCATTCTTTCCTCAATTTTTGTCCTAATCAATCCCATGAATACAACACATTGCTAACTTGCTATTGTGTGTCAAGGACAGGTCCAGGAAAGGATACGTTATTTCAGTGTTACATTTCCTGAAGGAAGTGTCAGACACTAAACCCAAACAAACTTGTAAATAAAGTGATGCTGTTCTCACTTAGTGGGGCTGCCCAAGTTCCACATCTCTAGCTATAAAGAGCACTGACTTCGCAGACTGACTGGCACAATGAATCCCTTAGACTGGTCGCTATGGTGCTTGTGAGCTCTGAAGCCGAAACCATGGGAGCTTTCATCAGCAAGTGTTTGTTGCATCATGTAAAGAGCTGTGGCCTTGGCAGAGCAGTCACAGGGAAAATAAAGATGAAGAAAGAAAAATAGAATTTTCCACATTTAAAATTAGCATTTGAACAGTCAAATTAGAAAAAGAAGAGAACATCTTCAACATAATGAAGGCTCTATATAACAAAACCTACAGTGAACATTATACTCAATGGTAAAAGACTGAAAGCTTTTTCCTTAAGATCAGGAAAACAAGGATGCCTGCTTTTGCCACTTTTATTCAACAAAGTATTAGCCACATACTTTTCGTCTTCCCTGCCTTCCTTTCCAAGTTGCTTAAACTTACAGGGTGACCTCTGGTCCCTCAGCTGACTTATGCACAAGACAGTGCAACATTCCCTCCTGAATTCCACTCCTGAGATAATCAATGTGAACAGCACAGTATATGCTATTTATGAATTTTAATTCACATTTTTTAAGCTTATGTAAATAGAACCACTCCACACATATACTTCCATGAACAGGTTTTTAAAATATTTTGTAACTATGTTTCTATGGCATAGCTATTAATCAAATTTATCTTTCTTCCTATATAATACAACTTATTAAATCAATGCCCTATTGGTGGACATTTAAACTGTTTCTGATTTTCTGCACTAACAGAGTTTTATTAGGTCTAAGGAGATGCCTATTAAAAGTGGTGATCACCAGTCTCCAGAAACAACTGTACCAATTTATACTCGTAACACCAAGATGAGAGTGCCCACTTTGACTAAGAACAGATATTATCTCTTTATCACTTTCACCAATCTTGTTTTACTTACATTTTCTTGAATATAAGTGATTAATATTTTTTCAAATATTATAATGACCATTTGTATTTCTTTTTCTTATGCATATACATTGCCCAGGTAACCTTTTTCATATATATTAGAAATATTTGTTTCAAGTTTATCTTCTCTTTCCATTTGTTTAATGGTCTTTTACTATTATGCAAATAGTATATGAATAGTCATGAATGAATAGTAAAAATTTATATATGAATTTTTTCCCCTTTATGGGGTCTGGCCTTGGTGATATACAAAGAAAGATCTCTATGACAAGACCACAAAGATGTTTTCTTATAGTGTCCTGTGGTTTTATATTTCATATTTAAATCTTAAAACTTCTAATTAATCTAGGAAAAGATGTGAAGGATGAAATTAATGTTTCCCAAAATTAATTTTCATGTATAAGACCATTTATTGACTAATTTCTTTTCCCATTGATTTGAAATTTTGTGTCATATAATAAACTTCCATAAATGCATTTTTGTACACAGCACCTGCTATTTTAGTAGTTCTAGGACATTTCCTACCCCATTTCTATCCTGCTCCTTTATCTTCATTTTTAAAATATCATTAGCTCCTCTTGAGAATTTCTGCTTAGAGAGGAACTTTTGAACAAATTAGAATAAACTTAGGGAGTAATTTGGAAGAAAACTGACATCTCTACCATATTGGGTTTTCCCATCCAAGAGTATGACATGGCTCTGTTTATAAATGGACAAATGCCTGAATAAAGTATCATTATTTTCTTCATCTAGGACTTACATATTCCTTATTAAATTTATTCTTAAGTACTTTTGAGTTTTTATTGCTACTACAAATAGGATCTTTTGCTACGTATAGAAAAGCAATTGTTTTTTTGTCTGTTTATTTTCTATTTGGCCACTTTACTAAACTTTTTAGCTCCATGTTTAGAATGTCTTTATCGAAGTTAATACCTGTGTTTGATTAAAAAAAAATTAAGGACTCCTAGAAGAGCAGACCCCTCCTGCCCAGTCTTGCTCTCTGTGACAAATAATTTTCCAACTGATTCTCTTAAAATATTCTAGGTATATAATGATCTGCAAATGTTAACAATTTGGTCTTTCCTTTTCCATGATTTATTCTTATTTCTTTTTCTAGTCTACTGCCTTCTTCCTCTGGCAGAGATTTTGAGTGATCTTGTCAGTAGCAGGCCTCCTGGCTTACTCCTGGCTTGAATGAAAAATCATTAGTGCTTCACCATTACCCATGATAGCTTCTGACGGATAATCCTTCTCAAGTTAACATTTCTATTCCTAGCTTAATAAAAGTTTTTTCTTGGCCAGGCGAGGTGGCTCACGCCTGTAATCCTAGCACTCTGGGAGGCGAGGCAGGCGGATTGCTCGAGGTCAGGAGTTCGAAACCAGCCTGAGCAAGAGCCAGACCCCGTCTCTACTATAAATAGAAAGAAATTAATTGGCCAACTAATATATATAGAAAAAATTAGCTGAGCATGGTGGCACATGCCTGTAGTTCCAGCTACTTGGGAGGCTGAGGCAGCAGGATTGCTTGAGCCCAGGAGTTTGAGGTTGCTGTGAACTAGGCTGACGCCATGGCACTCACTCTAGCCTGGGCAACAAAGTAAGACTCTGTCTCAAAAAAAAAAAAAAAAAAAAAGTTTTTTCTTCTTTTAATCAGTAATGGAAGTTTTTCAAAACCTATTTGGACATTCTGATTTATCTGCCCCTAATAAAGTATGTTTTCTGATGTTAAACCAACCCTACTTGGTCTCTGTGTATTACTTAGTACATTACTGGATTCTATTTAGTAATATTTTATGTAGTATTCTTTGACCTGTAATATAAATGAGATTAAGCTATATGTTATCTTTCCTTTCTGGTGATATATTTGTTATGTTTTAGAACATGGATCATTTTAGCCTTTCATAATATGCATATTTTTAGTTAAATAACTTCAAATCCCAAGGGTCTTTCTCACCATCACCTCTCCTTTTTGAATAAAAACTAAGCTTAACAATTACAGATCCAGAAAGTACTACCAAACAAGCTGTTCTTGCCAAGTAGACTCAAAGCATATATCAGATAATCACAAATCTCCATCTCATCAATCAAATAAAGTCCATCATTCTCTTGATATCCAAGAAGAGAAGTATGGTTACTGACAAGAGTAGTAAACAAAAATGAAGAATTTCCCATGCCCTAGATAGTAAACAAGAATGAAGAATTACCATACCCTATCAGCTATAATTTTTAAAACCAGATAGTAGGCTCTTTAACAAAATAAAAATCAGGTCTGAGAATTGAGGAAAGCCACCCCAGAGCAGAAACATGCTTCAGGCCAAACCTTAAACCCCTCAGGATGGTCTGTACCCCTGGAGCTAATACCAGTCACATCAGATCAATGAGTCTATGCCAAGGAAAATACTATCAGGGATGTGAGACAAATGTCATATGCCACTTTCCTTGTTTATGGCACCACACACCTATAAGCTGTGTCATAAACTCTCCTCCTAGATGGTCTCAAGAAATGAGACTCTGCCTGGTATTAAAGTATTCCAGGATAAATAACAACTGGAATGTTACAGAAGGCAGTGAGAACCATGCATATAACCAACTCAGCATGGGGAGACAGAACAAACTAGTGTCTCTGGGTCTCCTGACCAAAGATCATCTAGATTTACTGTTTTGTTAAACATCAGAAACTACTGTTCAGATATATATCCATGTTATTTATAATGAGGAAGTTTTTTTTTTTACTAATGTCAATGTTATTACTGTTCTTATTATAGAATGTATAAGAGGAATTCATAATCCAATTTCAATTATATAGTTTGAGGCTATCTAATTCCTTTAATAATTTAATTCCCACGATTTAGACTGTAAATAATCAGATATTTGTTTTTATGATTAAGTTAGCAGGTATTCACATGCCCTAGATAGAAAATGATATGGCATTTTTTATCAAGCATATTGTGTATTTTCTTAATGTCAAATAGGCCATATATTTTGGGAGGAAGTGGAGTGGATGAGGCTTCCTGAAATTTCTTCTGTACTCCTCTTCAAAGGAGACAATCAACACTGGCTGAGCAGGCAGGGAACAAACTGAAAGCATCTATAAAATGTTTCATATACAGAAACATTCCTTACTGTGCAGTATCTATGATTGTCAACCTATGAGGGATTTCCAGAAATCCTGAGCAACAGTGCCACAAGCATGACCTCTGCTGCTTCAACAAGCCAAATGTCTCACAATGCACAGAACACCAGTGACAGAGGGAAGACTATCCCTTCCCCAACAGAAAGTTCTATTTCTACTAGGGTAATTTGATCCTAGAGCAGCACTGTCCAGTAGAACTTTCTGCAATCATGGAAATGTTCTGTATCTGCTATCCAATATAGTAGCCACTACCTCCACATGGTTACTAAGCACTTAAAATGTGCTAATATGACTAATTACAAAATTAATTTTATTTTAATTAAATTTTAATAGCCACACGTGACTTGTGGTTACCATGTTGACAGTGCAGTCTGTTTTTAAAAAATGATATGTATGTATGTATACATGTACACACACACACATATTAATCACCATAACAATACTCCCTAAAAGTTAAAGAAAAGAATGACTTTTAGTGAACATATAATTCAAGGTAGAACTTACAAGCTTCAGTGTAGAGCTTCATAATGACAGAATACAGACTAGACCCTCTTTCTTCTATCCTAGCTCTTCTTTAAATGACACGCAAGAACAATTAGGCATTTTAATGGTGACCTGTTTGTACACTTATGGTCTAGGATAAAATTTTAAATAAGGTTTTTTTGCTTTGACTAAAGTAGCTAATATTCAACAAGGAAAAGATATATTCAAATTTCCCAAAGTAAATGTGAACTTTAACAGTCTTGCACTTAAAAAGAGGCTTCAGAACTAACCAACAGTTACATCACCAATGGATTCTCAAAGTATTATTCATACCAAGGAATTAATAACACCATAATTTATAGATCTTTGCTGAGGCATTCTTTCTTCCTATAGCTACTAGGGGGATACCCATAGAATAAATTCTGTTCAATTTGGTCAGAAAAATTTTTGTTATAGACCTTTACTATTTTAAAAAGCCAGTATTAAAAAGAGAAAGGTGAGAAATATTTTGTGCTTCACCAAGTATTATCTTATGGCACATATTTTTTTTGAGACAGAATCTCACTCTGTTGCCCTAGCTAGAGTGCCGTGGCATCAGCCTAGCTCACAGCAACCTCAAACTCCTGGGCTCAAGTGATTCTCCTGCCTCAGCCTCCCAAGTAGCTAGGACTACAGGCATGTGCTACCATGCTCGGCTATATTTTTCTATTTTGGGTAGAGAAGGGGTTTTGCTCTTGCTCAGGCTGGTCTTGAACTCCTGAGCTCAAACAATCCACCCGTCTTGGCCTCCCAGAGGGTTAGGATTACAGATGTTAGCCACCATGCCCAGCCACGTATTTTTATTAAATGGAATTTTTTGGGGTAGGAAAAGATATTCAAGTTATAACACAAATTCATTAAAGATATTAAAGATATTATAATATCATTAAAGATATTAACAACATAGCACATATAGATAGAGCTCCTAAATCTAATTCAGCTATTTAAGGAAAAAAAATTCTACAACATTAAAGTATCTTTACCTCGTAATGAACAAACTGGTCCATTTTCTTGATTCTTAGAGCGCTTACTTCTGAACTGACTTGGAATATCTAGTGAAAGGTCTTAAAAGGAGAGAGGAAAACAGCTATTAAAGGCATATCATGTAACTATACTCAAAAAGTAATTTCAAAAACTGATGTATTTGTAAAAATTTCTCTTTACTGTCTTATTTTTCAAAAGAAACATTAAAATTATTTTAATAAAATATCATATATGCACATGCCAAATATGTCTTACCTAGGAATGGATCAAACTTTCTAGATTCTGTCCCACATATGAGGCAGTTAACCTCATTTTGGAGAATGCCTCCGAATATAGCTGTGACAACAGTAGATGCTCCATTTCTAAAGAAAATCACCACACAGGAAAACATCTCAGTAAAAAACAGTCTCCTTGACATTTAAAAACTGAAATAAATATTTGTAAAAGCACCTATAGGTGACTTCTTTTGGAGGAACATGTAAATCATTTATATTTACTTATATTACAAAGTAGTACAAAAAGTTCAAAACCATATAGACACATAATAAAAGATTATAAGCCACTGGCTTCCCCCAACCCCCTTTTCTAATCCCACTATCAAAACAAACAGACATGTGTCTGTTTGTCTTGTACATGACTATGTGTCATGTACAAGAGCAAGATGACCCTTCCATACCCTCCCCTCAGTGTATTCCTCAGAAAACAGAGAACTGCCTTGTTATTTGAATCTCTGCAAGGCCTCTCATAGGGAATTTTCAAAATTACTTGACTTTAAACAAAAAGCCTTGTTGACAGCTCACTTAATACTGTAAATATATAATTTCTTTGTAGACAGCAAGAATATACCATTTTAAGAATAATAAAAAACACATGTCCTAATGCTACTAACTTCTCTGTTCCATCAAAGATAAAACAGGACTAACAGGAGGAGTACCCACACCTCAGAGGCCCAGTGTGAAGATGAAATAAGTGTAAGAGCTTTTAGAAGACTGCTTACCAAAAAGAAAATGTTTGCCACAAACATTTTCTTTTTCTTCATGCTTTATTAGCATGAAGTCAGATTATACCTGCATCTTGCTTTTGTTTTTTTCCCCCAAATATATGTCTTAAACATGTACCTCATTCTGACAGCTGAGTGGTGTGTCACATGGGCATACAATGGACACAGAACCAAGAAAGTACACCAGTGAGTATGACTAGCAAGTGATTATATAGCACCTACTATATGCAGGCTCCATTCTAGGTTTGTTCTTACCATTTATTAAATCAATTTATCTCCACAACAACTCTATAACATAGATACTGTTTATCTAAAGTAGGTAACTCAAGGAAGCTGAGGTCCAGATGTTAAGTAACTTGGCCCAAGGTCACACAGCTAGTCTGGCCTGACCACCTGCTCTTCATACTGCTCCTTCTCTTAATGTAACCGACATAATATTAATGGGTATTGAGGTAGCATCAGTTGTATGCTATCATTAATAGTACTACAATGAACACTGGTATTTTAGTCTTTATGCATTTATGCAGTTACTTGAGTCAGTGTATGTTTTTTGTTGCTGTTGTTTTGAGACAGAGTCTGACTCTGTTGCCTGGGCTAGAGTGCTGTGGCATCAGCCTAGCTCACAGTAATCCCAAATTCCTGGGCTCAAGCAATCCTACTACCTCAGCCTCCCAAGTAGCTGCAACTACAGGCATGTGCCACCATGCTCAGCTAATTTATATATATATATTAGTTGTCCAGCTAATTTCTTTCTATTTTTTTTAGTAGAGACAGGGTCTCACTCTTGCTCAGGCTGGTCTCAAACTCCTGAGCTCAAACAATCTACCTGCCTCAGCCTCCCAGAGTGCTAGGATTATAGGCGTGAGCCACCGTGCCCAGCCCCAGTATATGTTTTTTTACTAAGCAATTTAAGGTAGTTTCTGTTACTTGCAATCAGTTACTCCTAAAACACTGACTGTATTTTTGACCCACTCCAAATTAAACCTACTGCAATGATGAAGCAGATAAAACCTACCCCCGCAATTCTTTTATTTGAAAAGTCTGATTACTTCTCTATGAAAGGGCTTCCTTCCTTTACTGGCAAAACAAATAGGCAGTAACTTTACTATTTTTTTTAAAGTGTGGTTTGTAAGACATACTGGCTTTATTAAATTAAATTTTTTAAAAAAGGAAGACACATTGGGAACTACAGGACACAACAGCCATTTCAGGTTTATTAACTATGTCATTAACAAAGGACATAGCAAGTCTTAGCTGTCTGACATGTATGACATTAAGTTTAGGTATATCATGACTTAAAACAAGATTTGTAAATAAATTTCAAAATCACTGTTCCATTTATTATAACTTCACTTGAAGAGTGTTTAAATATTGACCACTTGGACAGGCTCTTATACTACTAGGGTCCTTTACAGCTGCCAAAGTCTTTTACGTTGGCTCTAATAATTTTCTATATACTAAAAAGAACACATCTGCCATTTATTTCTGCCATACCACTACCCTCAACCCCACCCTAGTAGGGAGGGTATGTGTTGATATGAGTAAACACTGATATTCACAGTAGACTTTTTTCTAGTTTTAGGAAATTTCCTTAGATCTTGAAATGCCTCCTCCAATGCACTGAAGGAAATAAAAGGAAACCTGAAATTTTTAATATTTGATGATAAATTTTTTCTTTGTTTCTCACTAATGGAACTTACAATTACTGTTCTTTAAAATGTTACAAAAGGGGTTAGATTAATATTTAAAACTCATAAGGTACTAAAAGAACATCCTATGAGTATTACACTATGTGATTCCATGGGGTACTTGAGAATAATATAAAATCATAAAGACATATACCCTCTCATTTTACACAGATTATCCTTGATAGAGCCCAGCTCAATTTCTTTGTATTTGAAAATGCCACGATAAAATGCAAAGCAGAATTTTTCATTTAATACTATATTTCTAATTTGGTGCTAGCAGGAAGAACAATTCTCACAGGCCACATACATGTCCTTCCCTTTCTAAGTTGGGTTCTAACAGGATTCATAACTACTGGGAACTGGAGAGACCAACATTTTGAGAAGTACAGCAATTCACACTGGTTGCTCTTCTCTCCCACTGCCAGAGTAGCTATGAGCTGCTTAGTCATTAGAAAGACCTAGTCTTACCAAATTAGATTTATGAACTGTCAAGCAATACTACAGCAGCACCTGTATGTTACTTACTCTTCTTTTTTTCTTTTAGGAGTCTGTCTTCTTATAAGTCCCTTTCCTATATAGGTCAATACTGACAAAACTTCAAAAAATTTGAATAAGAGAAGACTACAACTGACCAAAATCCAGGCTGAAGTAATAGTAAGTCATCCCTTTCTCAGCAAAATAAATGTTCTGATCTCAGTGAATATTTTGGGCTCTCAGTGCATGGGAAAGCAATCCAAAAGGTTATTTTTTTCATATTGAAAGGTAAGAAAAATTTCTGAGAACTTACAAATGCTTCAATTTCATTAAAGAACTGATCAACTTTTAGGAAAATTCACACTCAAAGCATTTTAAACTTTGGTTTTTAGTGAACAAATGTAATTATTTTGGTATATGAAAATTAAATCTCCTACCCATTATTCAATACATTTGGAAGAAAATCTTTTAAATGTTAAATTAAATAAATATTTTCTATTTTTTCAAGTTTTAAAATGATCTATACCAAATAATAACAATCAGAACTACATCAAGATGCAAATACAAGATACTTCTGATCTGGAAGCAAGAGGCACATGCTAGTCCACTTGCTCACAAAGTTCAAGTGCACACAAGTTTCAGCAAATGTCCAGGAAACACCTCTACCTTCTATTTAAATATAACACACAGTAAAACCAATAGAAATGTATGAGGCCCTCCTAGAAAGGAAAAGGAAACTAAATCTTACATGCAACATTTGTTACTTGCAGATAGAGTCGAATTCTCCTGAAGAATTGCCGAGTGGGAAACACCATTGAAACCATCCTGAAGTTCCAAGTGTAGGTGGTCCAAAAGATAGCGCATGAATTCATGGGCGTCCTGCTGCTGATAGCCCCTTGAAGCAAACAAAAACACTCAGTCACTGGGGAGGTTCTGCCTGCCCAGCCACACAAGCTGGGGGACGGGGAGATTGGGAAGGCCAGCAGCCCTGCGCTCACGAGCACAGCCAGGCTTCCATACCCTCGAACCCGCCAGCTCCACGGGCAATACGTAACATTTCTCTTCAGGAGAGAATTCTACTTAAAAATAAATTTGAAAACCACAGAATATTAGAGCTGGACTTGTAATGATTTCCTCAACTGACCTCCTCACTGCAGAGATGAGGAAGTTGAGGGAGCGAAAAAGGGTGTGTGTGACTTGCCTAAGGTCCTACAACAAGACAGTAACGGAAATGGAACTAAACCTGTGTCTCCTGGTGGACTGAGTCTTCCTGCTGTCCCACACAAGCTCGCTATATAGCAACTAAGTATCAATATATTTTCAAGTATTCCTTCTAAAGCTCATATGAATAAAAATGTTAAAATTCACAATCAAAAGCAAAGTTGGTAGTTCCTTTATATATCTAAGGAGGTGTTTTAAACTTATTTAATATAACATCTATTTTTTTCACGACTTCAAAGGTGAAATCTTTTAGGTTATAATATCTGAAATTATATCACACACAAAAAAGTCTAATTCTCTCCCCAAAATAGTCCAATATTCAAGTCATTTTACTAAAATGTATAATGAAAACCAGTACCTTGCATTTTCATCAGATGAAAACATACCCATTCCCTTTTTAAAAAACAATCTGCCTCTTAGTTCTACTTACCCAGGTTAATTTTTTTCAATCTGCCTAATGTAATGTTTCTAACCACACTATGATTTCACTCTTCTTGTATCAAAATACATTATTTTCTAATGTTTCCTATAGCATTACAAACATTTTCTTTAACCTACCTGAGATCACGGAACACTCAGCTCTTCTATAAAGGTAGGCATAGGTTTCTGTTGCAACTTGAGAAATTTATCAGAAAATAGTCTCTGCTTTTCTAATTCTGACTGAAGAAATATTTATAACTCCATTTTTAAACATTTAAACGTATCAATTCATGGCCTTATCTAAAAGCCTTAATAAACATTATTTAGTATGTTAAATTCAACAAATTTCAGTTATCCTTTTAATTATTTTCCAAATTATATAATCTGGGCTTCAGAATTCACTCTGTAGTCAACTTGGGCTTCTCTTGCTTTATAATCATGTTAAAGGATTCAGGTGCAGTGTTTTTTTTTTTTTTTTTTTTTTTTTTTTTTTTTTTTTTTTTTAAGAACATGTTCTGTAATAAGGTGCAGTGTTTATGTTTTGTATACATATTTCAGCAATGTCACCCAACAATTGTTTGAGAATTAATGAGGAAATGAATTATGAAGAACCAACTGGTGTCTCTGTGACAGAGCAGAATTAAGAGAGAAAAGACGACAGAGGGAAAAAACAGTGGCTCCACTTTTAACACTTCCTTCTCTTTATTTATTTGTGACCTCAAGTAAAGATTACCACTTCTCCTTAATATCCACAGAAGGAGCAACAGAAAACCTATGTCATGAAAATCTTGGGAGGAATCACAGTTGGTGAGCACACTGCAAACACAGAAAGCCTAAAGGATCTTGAAGCAACCTTTCTGAACGGGGGCCAAGAGAAGATCGCTGCTGAAGCACAAGGCACAGGAGCACCAGGGCAACTGTCTCTTCCCAACCTTTCACCATCTAAAATGCCCGGGATACATTAGAATTTTAGTTCCTGTTCATGTTTAAAATAACTCTAACATTCATAAGAAAATTCTAAGTTATTATTTTGGCCAAAGTACTTGCAAACCGAAGTAAGTTAAATTTAGCTATTCTTGTCCAGTATTTGGCACCAATCATGGCTGAGTTTCCTCAAGACAGAAACGCCAGGAAGTGAAAATGACAAAAATGATTTTGTGTTTACAAACATAAACACACAAATATGATAGCAAAATTTCTAGCTAGAAGAATATGGTTTAAATATAAAATATCAATAGCATAGTATTTTTAAATATTTCTGTATTTACAAATATCCCCAAATATTATCATTAAAGTATTACATGCATATATTGCCTATAAAGCCAAGAAAAACAGCTAGAAAATATAAGAATGTTTCAGTAATTTATTCATCCACCATTTTTAAACATTAATTATAATAAGAACTGATTTTTTTAAAAAACTATAGAAAGTTCTGTTTTGGGAAGTCAAGGCAAATATATTCAATCAGCTTGTACATAAATGATCTGATTTCAATTATCAAGAGACTTTCCTGAAGAGTGTTAGCATTAAGCTCGATCCCAAGAAAGAGATAGGGACCACAAGACAAACACTGTGAGTAGAAGCACATGCCATAAGAATAAATTAAGATAAGACAAAATCATGTTAAGAAAAGCAGGGATCAATTAGTAAAGGCTAGCAGAAAAGACTATCAAAATCATAAAAGCACATACTCTTTAACCTAGCAATTACTCTTACAGATCCCTGCATATGTATATATAAGACTATTCACTAGCGTGCTATTTGGAACAGCGAAAGATTAGAAACAATCCATAAAGCCACTGGTGGGGACTATTAAATAAATTATGAAACAACTATAACATGGTCTGAGGAAGTCATTTATATACTGATATGAATCATCTCAGAATACAGAAAGGATGACACATAGCCAATTATGTTAAGAATTACATAAACACAAACACGCACTTGCTAGTTAGCGTATGTAAACAAAATATCACTGAATGGATACAGAGAAATTTAGTAACTACGTTGCTTCCAGAAAACAGACCAAATGGCTAGGGAATGGAACAAAAGAAAAAACACATTCACTGCATATTTCTTTTTACTTTTGAATTGGGGGGCATGTATACTTTTGCCTATTTAAAAAAATAAACTTTAAAGTATTTTTATGAAAACAAAAAGGACAGCAGGAGCTGGACACACTATGAAGTCCCAAGAAGTATGGAAAGTAGACATGTATGTTGGAAGAGGTCAAAACTTCAGGAAAATTTCCCCTGCTAGGCTTTTGGTATGAGTGGGAAAAATGAAAGTATAGATTTGATTTCTGTACCCAAAGCTGTTGGTTACATTTATAGTGTATATTTTTCTGCGTTCATTTATTAAAGGAAAGTTGTTCCCTACTTCTAGATGTGTGTTTGTATTTCAGAGTCCTCATATTTCACTCAGGGGATCAAGCAAGGAAAATGGGCTTTCTAAACTTAAAAAAATATTTTACTTTGGGATTATAAATAAATATAAACATAACTGAAGACTCATGCACTTTCACATAAGCACACTAGGAGAATCTTACCCTGCATACATAATAGGAATAAGGGGCATAAGAAGACAGCCCCACCTCCCTGCCTCACTCCTGAGCAGTGTGCAGTGATCCTGCACTAAACTTTATCCATGACACAACCTCAAGACCTAGATCTAACCAACAGGAAAATTATTCATTGATTACATGAAAATGGACAACAATCTCAATTACTACAGAAGCAAGAGAAAGCCCAGCTGAGAATATAAAAGCAGCCTATTCTTATCAGTGATCAAGAGTTGATGTATATCAGAAATCACCCCAGAGACTCCAGGCTAAATTCCTCAATCTGGTTACCTTTTCTAAAAGTTCTTTCCCTTTATCAGCCGGAATTTAGAATGTTGAAATTGAGCAACTAAAAACTAAACCATGCTCACAGTTGGGCTACTGAAACTTGAAAGGACAGAGATGTAAGGAAGGCTTAGAGGAAAAGTAGAATGCTGTTGTATAAAAATATAATATTTCTAAACTTCTCAGAGAGGGACCTTGGTCACCATGGGGACCGAGGAGAACTATAAAATTAGTGGGGCCTCACTCAAAGCATGTGGACAGATTACTGTCAACACGTCTATTATTAACCAACTCTGCAAACCTGGATTCTAATTTTAGTCACGACACCTACTTAGATGTATAAGATTGAACAAGTAGCTTCTGCTCTCTCAGTTTTGTAAATAAATATAAACATAACTCAAGATTCATGCACTTCCACACAGGCATGCCATAAGAATCTTACCCAGCATGCCTAATAGGAATAAAACCCCTCCCTGCCTCACACCCCTCTAAAATGGGGTAACACTTCCCACCTTGGCTGGAATTTTGTTCTTGTTTTTACGTGAAGATCAGATATAAAATATTTAGCATTTGGCACACAATAGGCATTCAACAAATGGAAACTATTATTGTATAATAATAAGACACAAAGATTAAATCTTTATCAAGAGTCTAACTATAGGTGGTTATGTTAGAAATTTTATATTAAGTCCAAACCTGACTAGTGGTTAACAACAGTCATTTCTACCTTTCCTACTTAGAGTCCAGACATTCTAAAATTTTTATAAAATCAGTCTTTCCTAAGGGAAGATTTAAATGGCATGATACATAAAAGTTTCCTTCAAAATAAAGACCAGAGTTAAAATAGTTACTCATGTCAGATCCTCAAGGTTAGACTGTTTAGCAAGGCAACAAATTACAGTTCTTTGAAGTTATTATTTTTAAACATTTCTCTATATTAAAAATATATCTATTAGGCAATACAGCAAGATATATCATTAAGTTTTACTACATCAAGCTATTCTTTAAAGAAGGAGAAGGATGTAAGAGTCCTTCCTGATTTATCCTTGCTTCAGAAGAATAAAGTCAGCAGAAGGTGGCAAAAGCTGTTGTCAAATACCTGCAGTGCCCCAAATCTGCTATTACCTGAATCCCTACAGGGGTGACTAACCTGGGAGAAGAGGCCGGACTCCTCTGGCAGTGAGGCTAGAGAGAACTCACCAGCAACACAGCATGCTATAGCAGGCTGTGGGCAGCTGCCTTCTGGACGGTGAATCCTAATGGATTTGACTACAGTCTTCCAAGAGCTTCAGAACTCAGACCTGAACAGTTACTATAATAATATGAATTTCCACTGATCACACAAGGATTTTTTTAGTTGGAATAGTAAGACAGTTTATGATAGTAGTTATTCTTTATAAGATTGTGAAAGAATTAAGGAAATTCTGTTCCATATGCTTTCTTGGAGCACATAAGTTATTTATAAGGGGTTTATTTTTATAACAACAAAATACCCTACCCTTTGTTAAAGACATTTCTAATGTCTATTATTTAAATAAACACATTTGTTTAGTCAGATGTATTCAATTTCTGCTCTTCTAAAAAAAAAACAAACCAAATCAGTTTTTATTATTTAGAATATTTACAGTGCCACCACTTTATCCGAAATTATTTTAGGAACAGCATAAATTGCTAATATTTAAAAAATATCTTTCTTTAAATCATACTTACCTAAAATTCGGCATAATCTTCCAAACAACATAAAATAAGGACTCTGGGCTAAATGCAGTCTGGCTGCCTTGCCATAAAGCACAGAGTGTTTTTCTAAACTCTTCTACCAAAGACCTGGAAAAGACAAAGGGACAATACCCTCAGCATTAGTGGGAGGCTATTCCAATGCATGTCCAATTGTGTAAAATGGATAATAAATAAAAAACAAAAGCTTAAAAAGGGTTTGATTATTTTCTGAACTAAGTCTGACAGCTAAGAGCATCTCAAAAATCCACATAAGTAGCAGTAATTACTGACAAAACTAGTTCTTCTAACCATATGGTTAACTGAGTGTGCCAAAGCACTGCCATATTTGTACACTGAGTCAAAAAAAATACACACACACAAAAATGACAAAGTAATAGATAAGTTACAAGCCCAATTACTGGAGAATGTACATTTTAAAACTTAAAACAGGCCACAGGCTCCCTTTCTCCATATCCTTGTCCCTCTCCAACACTCCCAGCCCCAGCTTGTGCCCCCCTCTGCTCATCTCCCCTCAGAGAGCACATGTGGCCACAGAACCTCCCACTCAGCTCTACACCAGGGGCTCTCAGATCCAAATCTGAAAGTCAGATTTTCTCATGACCAGTGTTATTCAGGTTCCTCCAGTTTCCAGAAGGAATTTCCTACTGCAGTTCCTCTTGCCACTTCAATCTCCATGTGTACTAAACTGCTCAAGTACCTCCTACTCTCTGCACTCTCCCTACTCTCACCCAACGTCCATTCCCTTCTCTCACAGGAATGCAACTCCCATTTTTTGCTGGGGGCATGAACTCTCAGAATAAAAAATACTGAGGGGGTCCAAATTCTGCAAAATTTCCTAAAGAGAAAGAGCAGTACTTCATATTAATCCCTTCCTTCTTCCTGCTGGCTGGAATAAGGACATAAGGATGCAGCAGCGCCAGTACTATCTTGGACTATGTGAATGGGAGCCCTACCCCAGGGCTGGTGGAACAGAAAGCCAGAAGGAGCATGATGACTTTGTGAAACAGCCCTAGATAGACAACCTATCTGACATGAGAAAACAAACCATGGATGTTTAAGTCACTGTTGATTTTGGTTTTCTATGTATGTAGCCAAACTGATATACTTCTCCCCAACTTCAATTTCTCTGTCAATATAAACACCATACTCTTGGAAACCTGATTGGTATCTCAGAGAAGCTCAACCTTTGTTAGCTTGTAGGCATCTGGGATTCAAATCAGCCTTTTGACTTTCTAGTACTTAAACCCTCCTCCTATGTCTGGGGAATTCCCCACCTTAAACCTCCTGGTGGGAGTCAGAGTTTGCCTCCCACTGGGCCTAGAAAGAAGGATGGATGGATGGATGGAAAGAACATGAGCAGGGTGAATTAAGGGTCAGGTGAAAATGCCTGCCTGAAGCTGCTTGTTTGCTGAGTGTGAAGGTCAGCCGAAGAAAACAACTGACCTGTAAGGAAGTTGTTAAAGAAATTAACAAACAGCCCTGACTCTTGCATGTGTCCTTGGAAATAAATACAGGGAGGAACTGAGCTAAGGAGGCCATTTTCTCCTTTAGATTTTGGTCACTCCCCTTCTCTCGAAACACCGTTCTTCGAGTAATTATTCATTTCTTCACTACTGAGCTCAGCAGTGAAAAAGCAGCCGCAACACCCACTACAGAAGCAAAAAAGGCCAGATATTTGCTTTCTCTCTCTCCTTTGCAGTCACAGCACAGGCACATAGCCTGGGTTCTGCCCATTTGAAGCAGGTGTTAGTGACACAAAAAAGCAGGGACAGCACCGAATCCTCTTTGGTTGCAGTGGCAGCAGGGAGCATCGCCCAGGGTCCAGGGGCAGCAGTAAAAGCAGCAGCAGCAGCATCGACCTGTACCCACCTCCAGCAGCGCTGGCAACAGGAACTCTGGCGCTGTGCTGGGCAATGGAAGCAGTGGTGTCCTTACAGGACAGTTCAGTGGGGTGACTATAGCTGTAGTGCTGCTGCCTCAACTCCAGACCTGATTTTCCACCCATTCAGTAATGGGTAGCTCACTAATAGCCCTTCAATAAATTCCCTTTCTGCCTGAATCAGCCAGAGGCAATTTCTGCAGTCTATAAGTAAATCATAAATGACACTAATGCATCAAGTACTACTAATTCTTCCCTTAACTTTCATTCATATGTATTTTTTCCTCTTCATTTCACTGCTATCCACCCCACCAAACCCAATTACTATAGAGAGAAACCTCCTTGAATGCAGACACTTTCCAGCTCATGCTACATGCTGCTACCAAAGGAGACTCCCTGCAGACACCATGCATGTGATATCACTCCACCCTGCTCCAATGCCTGGCTCAGAGTGTCCCCACTGTGGCTCTAACCACAACGCCCACCACTCAAACACGTTGTGCCCTGCTCTGCCTCAGTCACCGACACAGGACACAGTCAGATCATAAGATGCCCTCCCTTTCAGAGGAAGTGGGGACGGAGGTGTGTGGGAGTGGCGATGGGCAGGCAGAGAAAACATTAAATATATTCATAAGTCATGGCCCCTCTGGAAAGGGGCTGTGTAAAGCCAAGATATCAAAAACATGCCCTTTACAATCATGATGATATCTCTTCTGAACATCAAATAAGGCAGGGGATGCACTGAATTTGAATACAGGGTTGGTCCTTAATAATTACTTGCCCATTTTTTCCCTCTCTGTATCAACCAAAAATTGACTGTATTGCCCTGGAATTAATTTTCTGACTACAAATTAATTTCATTATCTAAGACGGGGTTACCTAACACTCTCAGACACATCAATTCACACAGACTAGTGATATTCAAGCTAGTCGACATCTAGTAGATGTCAATTCTAGAGTGCCCACATCTGCAAAGACCCAACAAGTAGAGTGCTAAATTTATCCTGCCTGTTACAGTAAATAGAAACACCAAAATTCCAACAATTAAGATTGCCAGCTAGATACTTGACATATTTTTTGGAAGAATTTTTTAAAATACATGTGCCTATAACTCACATAATACAATGGAAATCATCAGTGAGAGTCATTTGTTTTATAGCTCAAAGCCAAAAAGGACACATGCTTGTAACTCACACATTGTTGTCTCCTTGGCTCCTGGTGTGGTATGTTCTCCTTCCTGCTGTCTTCCCATTCCTTAACTCCACAGCAGGCAGTTCTTTGAAATAACAGCAAAACTGCTCAATGTTACTATTTTAAAAGAAAGGGAAAATATTTTTAAAAAAAGAAAAAGAAAAAAGGAAATAATAGGTCCATAAAGTTCTATGAAACCTACACATGAATTTTGAAAGTGTGATTTTTCAACTGTCTCATTTAAACTGTACTCAATGCAATCTCTTACATTGAATTTTCTCACTATGGTTCTTCGTTCACTCTATAGTATACAGTACAGACAGATGACTTGTAGAAATCAACAAAGAACTTAAAATCTATGTTCATAAAAATCCCCAATTTTCCTTTCATCTATAGGTTGTCACTATTTCTGTCTGTTCAGGGTGCTTGTGTTTCCAGGTATTCAATAGTTTCCTTAAAGACAAACCATGAAAACAACTATATTATTTAGATATACTATATAGAATCACAAGGAGAATTCAGTAGTAACTAGAATTTCTCCTTTGAGCAAGAATAAACTGAGTTTGAAGGCAGCCCCTTCAAAGAGATCAAATGTGGCTTCTGCTCCTTATTAGCCATGTAACCTTGAGAAGAGAATTTATTCTGGCCTTTGATACCTCATTAAAATCTAAAAGTATACCACTTTCATAATAATTTCTTCTACAAAACTGAGGCCAAATTTGACTGTTATTTTATTTTTCCTACTCGTCTTAAATTTTGAAGATTTTTTTTTATTAAGAGATAGGTTCTTGCTTAGTTGCCCAAGCTGGAGTGCAATGGTGCAGTCATAACTTATTACAGCCTCAAACTCCTGGGCTTAAGCGATCCTCCTGACTCAGCCTCCTGAATAGCTGGGATACAGGCATGCGCCACCGTGCCCAGCTGATTTTTTTCATTTTTTTTAGAGACAGGGGTCTCACTACATTGTGCAAGCTGGCATTTTGAAGATCTTCTAAACATCTGATCTCATGACCATGCTTAAGACTCAACTAATCACTGAAATAAGCTCTCTGAACAAGGGTCCCTATAGCCCAGGGGTTTGCAAACTATGGCCCATAGGCCAAACTAGCCCTCAGCCAAAAAGTTCTCAAAGTGAATTTTATATTTTTAGGGTGTTGTTTTAAAGGGGGAGGCAGGGAGGGAATATTTGAGAGAGACCATGGTCTAAAAGACTAAAATATCTACCATCTGGCCTTTCACAGAAAAAGTTTGCTGACCCTTGCCTTTAGTCTATTCAAGAAGCAATGAGAAATAAACAATAACAGCAAATAGTTATTTACTACCAGGCACTGCTCTAAGCACTTTAGACAAATGACATTATTTAATCTTCTTCTTAAAGTTAATTATTTAATCAACTACCATATGAGATAGGACTATTTCTCCCAATTTTACCAATGAGAAAACTGAGGCACAGGGAACTAAGGTAACTTGCTCTAAGCCACATGGCTAGAGTCAGTGGCAGAGCCAAGATCTGAAGCTGGAGCCTTTCCTCATAACCTTTAATGTCAGATACCTAAGCTCTGACTGTAATGTTACCTGAGTGACTGAAGGATGGCATTCATGAAACATGTGTTCCCCAAATTCCGAAGGCCTGTGGCACAAATTGCAGTGGTGCTTCCCTGTAAAATGAACAAGAAGAGGCCGTCAGTAACACCAAGGGAAGGCCAACTGTTTCAAACACTGAAGATAAGCAAAGGCTTCTATTTGAAACTCTAGCACCAAGCCAATTTGGAACTTGTCCTTTATCTATCCAATGAATATTTCAAACAAACTCTCTTTCTAGTCTCTGTGTAAACGTCTGTATAGTTTTAGAAGGCTGTTTCTGATCCTGGGATTTTTCTAAATGGGAGGATCTTATTGAAAGCTTATGAGGAAATCAATAATAATAAGTTCAATGAAGTACACAATGCAAAAAAAAAAAAAATCCAGGAAAATCCTTAAAAGAAATAAAATTTAAGACTTAATGCCTTTATAAGATTCTATTAAAACAGAAATTAAAAAATACAAATATATTTTCCCCAAGTATTTTTGTCCCCAAACTTTTAACCTTAAGCCATGCATAAATGACCAAAGTATAATATGTTTTCCTAGCAATGGGGTATGAACCTTAAAATACTGTCTGAACTTAAAGACTTGGTCTTAAAGACTAAAGCTTGGTTTTCTGGCTAAAAAGATATTAAGAATGAAGTACTTCCTAAGGCAGAAGAGCACAGTAATAACTCTGATGGAAGGAAGGCACTGACAGACGGCCTCACTGGGGTCAAATCAAGAATCATTAGTACAAGTGGCAGACGTTTGTGAACTACCCCAAACCTAAGACACACATTTATAGAGGTTTATAATGAGTAACATTAAATGTTAGAGTTGTAACAAAACAGTGATTAGATCTCAACTAACTCTCACAGTTAAATAAATTTTAATTACTTACATTTACTTTTAATAATTTGCTGTTTAGTGATGAATTTTCCAAAAGTTTCCTTTTCCTATGCCTGTCAGCTGTGAAAGCTGAACTATTAAAACACAAACAGTGAAAAAGACATTAATACATAAATGCAACATAGCAGGCTAACGAATAAACTCGAGCTACCCCAGCATCTAGGGCACTGAGCCCTGCCTGCTGTGCAGTCAGGCATGTGCATAAAGACTTTGGTTACCATCACAGCAAGTATCTGAAGTTAACTGAGGAAGTTCTACTTCCTTGGAAGTCCCCACTGGTCCTGGCAAAGCTGGCCAGGTCTAGGTCTTCTGTGAGACACTCCCTCCCCCTATATCTCCATCTGCCTAATCTATTGTGAAGCTTCAAAACCAGAAAACTCATTCCTCACAACAAAAGGAAAACCCTGGTCTGACACAAGTATTCTGAAATTTAATAGTAAGTCTCAAATAACATGCTATTTCTTTCTCAATTTTGATAAAGGTATCATATCTTGCCCCCCATTTCTCTTAATAGATCAAAAAGTTTAAAATTCAGTTTCTCAATTGCACTAGCCACTTTTCAAGTATGACTAGTGGCCACCATATTAGTGCAGATTATAGAAAACTTCCACCACTGCAGAAAGTTCTCTTGGATGCTGCTCTACAGGATATGAAGAATGTCTAAAATTAAGTAAAACACAAATGTAATCATAGTTTAAAATTCCTTTACAGGCTGGGCATGGTGGCTCACGCCTGCAATCCTAGCACTCTGGGAGGCCGAGGCAGGTAGATCGCTCAAGGTCAGGAGTCCAGCCTGAGCAAGAGTGAGACCCCATTTCTACTAAAAATAGAAAGAAATTAATTGGCCAACTAAAAATACACAGAAAAAAATTAGCAGTGCATGGTGGCTTATGCCTGTAGTCCCAGCTACTCGGGAGGCTGAGGCAGAAGGATCACTTGAGCCCAGGAGTTTGAGGTGGCTGTGAGCTAGGCTGACGCCATGGCACTCTAGCCCATCTAGCCCAGGCAACAGAGTGAGATTCTGTCTCAGAAAAAAAAAAAATTCTAAAAGACCCCGCAACCCCATTCCACCCCCTTCTCTTTTCCAAGGTCCACTACTTACTTTTCCAAGTTCTGTAAGTGTTCTCTGACTTTCTGTACCAGACCCAGCTTCGTGTCATTAACCACAAAATCATCACAGCGATAACTGCAAGGAAAATATTAATCAATGTGTATAAGGAGCTTGAGGAAACCACAGTAATGAAATCACCAAAAGGCCTGGCTGCTGCCAAGATGATCACATGGCTCTGCAGGGAGTTACTGTTGGTGGTAAGTTTAAAGAGGACTTGGGAGTCCACAATGGAATGTTTTTTAAGAGCCTTCTTAAAAAGCCACGTAGGCTTCTTTTCACATTTTTATTCAAAAGCCCTTCAATTCTTCCTTTGAAAATGAAATAAGCTGCTACATGTGTTACATTCTTTTTAGTAGTACATAATACATGGAAAATGAAATAAAAAGCACTGGCTCTTTCCACGTAGCATTAAGCCTAAAGCTTTAAGGTGACACTTCCCAACCCAAATTAATGGAGAATATGGGGGAGATTTAAGTGAAAAGCAGGGAAAGGGCAATTAACCTGTAAGGATATCTGAATAGAAAAACTAAAGTGAAAGCAGTACTTTAAACCAGTTTAATTAAAATAAATATAATTCAGATGAGTTGGGAAGAACAAATCTTTCATTTTGAGGTGCCAGAAAACAAAAAGTATGACACAGTGGATGTATCTTTAAGGAAATTGATAAGTGCTTTGAAGAGAAATGTTTAAGGTGTAAGGTGTTTTTTAAAACTGATAAATGTGTGTGTATGTGTGTTAGCAAGTCAATTAAAGCAAATAATACAAGGAATCACACACAATAAACTTTAACTTTTGCATTAGGATTTAATTTCTTCCTGGGATAAGGCCAATTTTAAAAAAACAACTTACAGTAGGCTGGCACTAAGATATTCTTTTGAAAGTGCAGCTTTGTATAAAACCACTTGTTAAAACTACCAAAGGATAATAAAAATAACACTGCCATTCTGAGCAAACGAAACTTTGAAAGCACAGCAATTAGTAAAAATTAGGTCGTCTCTAGCAGAATCCAAGAAAAAATCTCTTATATATCTGAAATCAGTCTATAAAGAAAAAGAGAAAGGGGTAGGGGAAGTAATAAACAACAAAGATTACACACAAAAGCGTGGATTGTGTCTTTTATTCAGAGGAATGAAAATTTTAAGTAAATGCTTCTGAAAACTTTGATGACAATGTCATACATGTAATTACTGAACACACCCCCCACCCCATTAGCTGACCACCCACGCTGTCAATCAAGATTTCTCTAAGGTATTCTCCAAGTCCCCAGGGGCAATTCCTAATATTTCCAAAAACAGCCAAAGCAATCTTTTATATTCTGGACCATTTTTTCTATTATCAAAGTGCCACTGGCAGGAGAATAAATTCATCAACTTGATAACAAATACATAAATGAATTAAGTTAGTAAAAAGGCTTAATTCTTTGCTCCCTCTCAGCATAAATGAGAGAAAAAAGACCTACTCTGTCTGTAAATTTGAGCTTAAGGCACTTGGTACCCCCACTAACCTTAAGCAATCACTGAAGAATGAAACTGTATTGTTATTCTATTTCCTGCTTATATTTTCATTTTATGTTTGCATAAATTTATAATCGTATTAATAGTACAAGTAAAACAATACTCAGTGTTCAAAACAAAAACAACTCCAAATGTTAGTGCTCATCTGGGAAATGAAGTCTAAGATCAGATTCAGATCAACTTCCATGTATTTACAGTATGTCGTGTCTGATTGAAAAGTGTACCTGACTGCCACAAAAAAGTGTTTGTCTTGTTTCAGGAAATAAATCGTTTCAAATTAAGTAATCGATTTATTTCTTATTAAAGTAATTCTTTTCAGTATGACATGGATTCAGCCTAGGATATAAAATTACTTTACATCTGTTAAAGTAACATTAACATATATTGACATATAGACTTATTTATGACTTTGCTCTGTTCTCAGTCTGGATCAATTGGGTCTAGTTGCTTTACCTTCTCTAAACTTTCACCACTTAAGCGAATAAGTTGTTCTACACTCTAGAGCTGCACTAATGTGACTACTGTAACTTAGAAACTAAATTTTTTTTTTTTCGTCAGAAATGGACTACGAAAGAAACTAAATTTTAATTCTTAACAATTTTAAGAATTGTTCTAGACTCTACAGCTGCATTAATATGACACATACTGTAACTCAGGAACTAAACTTTTTTTTTTTTTTTGAGACAGAGTCTCACTTTGTTGCCTAGGCTAGAATGAGTGCCGTGGCGTCAGCCTAGCTCACAGCAACCTCAAACTCCTGGGCTCAAGTAATCCTCCTACCTCAGCCTCCCAGGTAGCTGGGACTACAGGCATGCGCCACAATGCTCGGCTAATTTTTCCTATATATATATTAGTTGTCCAATTAATTTCTTTCTATTTATAGTAGAGACGGGGTCTCACTCTTGCTCAGGCTGGTTTTGAACTCCTGACCTCGAGCAATCCGCCCGCCTCGGCCTCCCAGAGAGCTAGGATTACAGGTGTGAGCCACTGCTCCCGGCCAGGAACTAAATTTTAATTGTTAAAAATTTTAATTAAATATAAATTTTTACTTAATAACTGAAACAATATAGAATCTTTTTCCATTAGACACACCTTTATATAATAGTTGGGCAGAACTACATTTTGTTTTTCTTATTAAATTGTGTAAGATACATGGCAGTCCCGTTGGGTACATGTGTCATTTCCAACCTTACACAAAAGCATATCACCAATATAGTTTGTGTCAAAATAATGATTCAGTTCAAATGATTTTTCTATGCAACAATGTAGCATAGAAAATTTATTCAAATATTTCATGTAGACAGCATGAGATACAGTGATATGTAAATCATAATAGGTAATTAAATTGAAATATTTATTTTAATTAAAATAAGTTTTCTAGCTTAATAGAAAATTTTAAACTTTCAAATGAAGGCATACATAGCTATAAAATGGCTTAGATTCTTGCTCAATATAGAAAACCATTTTTGGATGGAGAGATGAAAAATTAAATTATTTCAGTTAAGGAAATCACATTTTAAATTATGAGGAAAAGATTAAAAAGAATATTTTACAAAAAGCGGAAGATCTTCAACTGAGCCACCAAGCAAATGTCAGTGAATAAAAGATCTTTCTAACAATATTAATGATCAACCAAGCAACATCTGAAAAATTGCGAGTACTTTTATTTTTAGCTTTAGATGAGTTTAACAAGAGATACTGTCCAATTAATATTTTGGGTATATTTGTCTCAAATGACTTCCAAATTTATAAAGAAATGCCTTCAACTATTTGCAATCTTTAAACAATTCATCTTCTGTGGGTATTTTTTGAATTTTTTTTACATCTGTCACCATCAGATAAGAAAAAGCTAGTTTCTATCAAGACAATGTTCAATCAAAAATCTAGATTTATTAGATTCATTTGCCTTATTACTTTGTTCAACTATGTGACACATAATTGCAAGTGTCCATGCCCTGAGTCAGACTATATCATAGAGGAAGTTATTAAAATTGTTCAGTATACATGTGCAAATGCTATAAATCACCACCAGTTTATGGAACTGTTAAAAGAAAGAGAAGACAATGAATTTAATGACTGCATGTTCTTTAGCCAATGTTGGTTGAGTCATGGAAGAGTTTTACAAAGATTTACTGTATTGTTAACTCTAATTCAAGATTTTTTAAATAAAAGAAAAACTTACCAATATTCAACAAAGAGTAAACCAGAAACAGATTTTTAGAAATCTCAGTGTGACTTACATTTTTTCCCCTATATCACAATGCATATGCATGAGCTAAATTTGAAGATCCAAGGAGAAAAAAAGCTTGTGACCTAGCTAAACAGGTATAAGAATTTGTTTAAAGTTGAAGCTTTCCATAATACAAATAAATAATCATTACACACATTTTTCAACTTTAATTTATAGCAGAGACAGCATTATGTAAATTGGGTACAAAATTTATGAGAAAAATTCAAAGAATACTTTGTTGATACAGATGAACTTAGAGTTGATTTTCAGTTTATATGATGCCCATTTGAATTTCATGTTGATAATATTGAATTATCACAAGAGTTAGTGGATTTACTTAACTTGGACAGATGTTTTGAAAGTGATAGGCTTTTGCATCTGAGTCAAATCAACTGTTAAAAAATTAGCTTTAGGCCGGGCGCTGTGGCTCACGCCTGTAATCCTAGCTCTTGGGAGGCCGAGGCGGGTGGATTGCTCAAGGTCAGGAGTTCAAAACCAGCCTGAGCGAGACCCCGTCTCTACTATAAATAGAAACAAATTAATTGGCCAACTGATATATATATATAAAAAAAAAAAATTAGCCGGGCATGGTGGCGCATGCCTGTAGTCCCAGCTACCCGGGAGGCTGAGGCAGAAGGATCACTCGAGCCCAGGAGTTTGAGGTTGCTGTGAGCTAGGCTGACGCCACGGCACTCACTCTAGCCCAGGCAACAAAGCGAGACTCTGTCTCAAAAAAAAAAAAAAAAAAAAAAAAAAAAAATTAGCTTTATCAAGAGAGGTGCAAATATTAGAGAAAAAGGATTTTATTGGAAAACTTTTAATAATGTTTAGAATAGTGTGAATTACTATTTTAACTGCAATTTTTATGAATTTAAATACAGAGCAAATATTTCTGATGAAAATTTAGCATCTGAATTGAGATGTCCTATAAAATGTAAATTACACACTGAATTTCACATGAAAAAGATTTCATATAAAAAAAGAATATAAATATTTCTAATGTTATATTGATTACATGCTGACATAATATTTTAAATATACTAAGTCAAATAAAATATACAAGTACAATTAAATTCACCTGTTTTTGATTTTTTAATATGGCTACTAGAATATTTAAAATTACATGTGACTTGCATTATTTCTGTTATACAGCACTGCTGATCTAGAGTATCTAAGACATTCCCTGCTCTAAAATTCTATAATACTACCCAACATCATAAAGGGGTAAGAAATATAACTTTATTGAACTGTAAGAACTCAATTTTACTTTGGCTAGAATTGTTTTCACTTGTTTAAAAAAGTTTTGTTTTTTTTAAGTTTTTACAGCTGTC